CCCCTGTACCTGGGTGACTAATTCGAGGCTAAAGCCTCTGAGTAATTTTCATGGTCATGCCTTTGCTACCTGGGCCACGTCTATGGTCCCTTCATCTCCCAACTGTTCTGAGATTGTTTATCCAAGCTTACGTTTAGTCCGCAATCCTCATCCTCCAGTTCATATCAGTCTCCATCTTGCTCAGTAGGATCCGTCTCTTATCTATCTAGTCCAGTGATTTCACTCGATCGCTTTCAATATATTCGTGCTACTCGAGACGTTATGTTCTATGCTTTGCTTCAAACCTTTGATAGCACGTATCCTCCAGCTTCACTGAGCAAGCCTCTAAAGTTTGGATTCACAAGTAGCTTGGAAACCTAACTTGTCACCACACCATCTTGGTCTCCATATCTTCGATTACCTTATTATGCTTATCATCATACCACCACCTGGCGTGGGTAGATTTTACGCCTTTTTGTAGAAAATATTTCTTTGATCTTCAACTCATTTTTTTGCATTTTACTATTTTAAAAATTTTAATTGAGTTCTTTTTTATTTGCTCCGTTTAGGCTTGCTATCTAGGCTTATTTTTATGCATTTTTTAAATATTTTCTGATTATTTAATCTGAGCTTGGTTGTCATATAAAATATTCATCTCTTAACTAGATTCCCGGCCATGTCTATCAAGCTCACTTACGACAGCTATGCACTGAGTCAGCTATTATCGGTTCTCTCGCCTCTGGATCACCCCCACCTGCTCAAGGAGGACGGCCCTGCCCCGTGCGACGTTCTTGCTGCCGCTGGCGTGACTGTTCATCCGGCTCACTGCCTCGAGCCCCTTTCGCCTTGCAGAGTCATGTGCTTGATTCGCATTGTCTTCCTGGTGAACTTGAGAATCGTAGGCGACGGAGATGCCTTAATATAAACTCCCCATCTATCCCACCTACTCCTGCCGCCGCAAGTAGATCTCCACCAACCAGCGTTGGTGATCAACCAAGCTGGGCTATCCTTCGGCAAGTTGAGTTGCGTCGGCTACACGCAGACTTAGCTCCCCTTCTGCCAAGTTCTCAGATCCCACCCGGTTTTGTGCAATATGCCGCTGCTGCTTCCTCATCCCCTTGTCTTGCTTTGGCCAGCCAATCTCGGCAGTCTGGTTATCTTCTACCCGGTCAGCGACTTTCTCCGTTGGGACATGGTTTGCCCCATGCGGCGACAACTCCAGCGTATACAATGCCGATGCTGCCTCCACCCCAGACTCCCAGAGAGGGCCCTGTAACTAAACACCTGCGTGTATCGGCCGCTTTAGTTCTACGAAATCTGGTCATGCATCTTGAAGAGGCTCGCAGGTCAGTTATGCTGCATTTGAGACTTGGGATTACACTTTTTGGCTTCACTTGTTGATTTTTTTAATCCTTATTCTGATAATCC